TGATCTTATTTAAATATTAACCAAAAAGGTTAAATTAAACAAGTAAAACGGCAAAACCGTATTTGGGACACGACTATGTCTCGGAGACAATACTAAGCAGAATCACTTTGACGCTCAAGGCGGGTCTCGTTCTCATTATCCAATCTTCTTTGGTATCGCTGCTTTTGGGCGCGATCGTTCAAACTTCGCCGGCCACGACCACGAGATCGTCCACGATGCATTTTTGATGAAATTAACCTATCCAATTTCGAAATTTCTCTCCGTTGCAACCCGTCGGCCCGGGTTGAATTTTTGTCGATGCCTAACGAGAATTTCCCGTTTTTGAAAAAAATAATCGTGGCTATTGTATCGTCCGAAATTATTTTTTTATTTTGCACAAACAATATACAGTTTAACCCGATTATAACGTCATCGGATGTAACGACAACCCTAATATAATGTCAAATTTTTATCGGTTTCACGATTTTACTATACTAGATAATGTTAAAAAACCTACTTCTAACGACATAAAACCCTGTTTTAATGTCATATTTGAAGCACTCCTAAATTTACAAAATTAGATTACAAATTTTATTCAACAAAGAAAATACTACGTGTTCAGTCCTAGGGTCACAGTCCAGTTCCTAGAACGACTGTGGGTGGTACTCTCACCACCTGACTTCGGTTTGCCTGTTTGTAGAGAGAGTCGCCATTTTGTATTTTACTTTGACTCGGTTCTCGGTCCTCTGAGTAGGCTACCTACAAGTCTGGTTTTTTTATGCGCGCATGATTTTGGCACTTAATACTCTGTGCCATATTGCAACTCCTGACATGTACTCTTTCATACCTCTAAGCTGGTAACACAGCAGGCAGTACGATTTTATAAACAAGACACAGTCTTGTTGAAAATTAATATTTTAAGGTAATATTTATTTTGTATAACAACTTTTGTTAGACATTTAATAAAATAAATTTCAATTTTTTAAATTTATAAACAAACTGTTCAAACTTTTCTAGAAAAACTAAAATTTATTGTTGTGTATTAAATATTTTTTATTAATAAAAATTTAAGATTTGTTTTAGTTTTTCACATTATTTAGTTTTGTTTTATTTATTGTTTTATATTTTTTATGTGCTCTATTTCTTGTGAACGAGGGGGCCCGGTAAGAAGAAAATGTTTAGGGCCCCAAAGTGGGTTGATCCGGCCCTGAATGTGGGGGCCATGTCTATGAGTATATTATGGAAACACTTCAAGCTTTCATTACCGGAAGTCTGGGTAGAGTAGTTGGGAACAGGAGTTACAGGAATTGCAGATTCAAATCCCTCTCTGGATCGATCTTTAACAGGCTGGATGGCCGAGACCGTTAAGACGTCAACCTATCTCTTTGGGAAACCGAGATCGAACCGGACGGAGATCCCCAGAAACTTCGTGGGCGGTCTGTCTCGGATATGTCGGGTCCCTCTTCCTCCCACCCAGCAGCCTCATTGCGGGCCTGATCGAACCCACGATGGGTCTGAATANAAATTAACCTATCCAATTTCGAAATTTCTCTCCGTTGCAACCCGTCGGCCCGGGTTGAAGTTTTGTCGATGCCTAACGAGAATTTCCCGTTTTTGAAAAAAAATAATCGTGGCTACTGTATCGTCCGAAATTATTTTTTTATTTTGCACAAACAATATACAGTTTAACTCGATTATAACGTCATCTGATGTAACGATAACTCTAATATAATGTCAAAATTTTTTTTATCGGTTTCACGATTTTACTATACTAGATAATGTTAAAAAACCTACTTGTAACGACATAAAACCCTGTTTTAATGTCATATTTGAAGCACTCCTAAATTTACAAAATTAGATTACAAATTTTATTCAACAAAGAAAATACTACGTGTTCAGTCCTAGGGTCACAGTCCAGTTCCTAGAACGACTGTGGGTGGTACTCTCACCACCTGACTTCGGTTTGCCTGTTTGTAGAGAGAGTCGCCATTTTGTATTTTACTTTGACTCGGTTCTCGGTCCTCTGAGTAGGCTACCTACAAGTCTGGTTTTTCTATGAGCCCATGATTTTGGCACTTAATACTCTGTGCCATATTGCAACTCCTGACATGTATTCTTTCATACCTCTAAGCTGGTAACACAGCAGGCAGAACGATTTTATAAACAAGATACTGTCTTGTTGAAAATTAATATTTTAAGGTAATATTTTTTTGTATAACAACTTTTGTTAGACATTTAATAAAATAAATTTCAATGTTTTAAATTTATAAACAAACTGTTCAAACTTTTCTAGAAAAACTAAAATTTATTGTTGTGTATTAAATATTTTTTATTAATAAAAATTTAAGATTTGTTTTAGTTTTTCACATTATTTAGTTTTGTTTTATTTATTGTTTTATATTTTTTGTGNTGTAAACGGGATAAAAGTTTTTTCAACTTTCCTCGTGACTCATAAAAGTAATTTTTATACTTTTATGATTGTTATATTAAGTTAATAATAGTAGCTTAAAATATTAATTAATTAAACTATGTTAAAAATTAAATACTCCAATTAAATTGAACTCAATATTCCACAAGAAAATCCAAGCAAAGCAAAAAATACAAGCTGGCCATCTCCATACTAGGACCTCATGATTCCGGGTCCCCTGACAAGAGTTCGGTCAGTTATTACAATGTGGGGCCATGCCTATGAGTATATTATGAAAACACTTCAAGCTTTCATTACCGGAAGTCTGGGTAGAGTAGTTGGGAACAGGAGTTACAGGAATTGCAGATTCAAATCGATCTTTAACAGGCTGGATGGCCGAGGCCGTTAAGACGTCAACCTATCTCTTTGGGAAACCGAGATCGAACCGGACGGAGATCCCCAGAAACTTCGTGGGCGGTCTGTCTCGGATATGTCGGGTCCCTCTTCCTCCCACCCAGCAGCCTCATTGCGGGCCTGATCGAACCCACGATGGGTCTGAATAAGAGGCTCTCTTGATTCCCGAAGAGCGAATAGAGGGAGTAAAAACTAAAATGAAGTAAAAAACCTATATTCTGAATCGTTAACATCATGTGTTTGCTATTTATTACAGTATGAACGAAAGGTTAAGTCAGTCAACAATAATTATTTAGGAAGATTGATTTCCAATCTTCTGAAATAATTGGGAACTACAAAATAGTTGGAAACTGCAATATAAATGTAGTCACGTAAAATAGAATAGAAAGGTCACGAAAACTTTTCTACTGAAATGTGTTTAACAGACTATCTGTATCGTTATTTTGAAAATTATTCTGTTACTAATACAGAATCTGCCAAACTTCTCCGTTTAAACAGGTTTCTGTTTTATAGAGGATTATAATTTTTTTATTGCAGGAAAAAAAAGTTAAAAAAATGTTACAATTCATGTTTAGAATTGCTTCTCCATCAAAGTAAATGTTAACTTATATGTTACGAAGACATGTTGAAAACGCCGAAATGTAGCTTATATATGATGCAAGACGAAAAATCTGTTTAAAAACTTAATACCCACGGATTGGGTTTTAATTGCCCATCCCATTGGAGCAAATATTTACTAGTTAGAACCTAGTTAGTAAAAGAATAGCAGAAAAGTAGAACTTTTCTGCTATTATTTTAATAGACCTTGGAGAACATAAATCCTCAGATCAGCAGCCAATCAAAGTCGTCGACACAAGCCGATCAGAAACGTTGTTTTGTGTTAATGCTATTTTGGTAGGTTTGTTTAAACCTGAAAGCTCGTTGAATACAAACTGATAATTAGTGTTTATGGTTTTTTAAAGTTTGAATTTCTAAATAAAGGTAATTGTTACAATGTTTTTACAAAACAGTAATTTTTATTTATTTTACCTAACTGTTGTGAGAGAACTGTATTTCACATTCAAGTTCTCAATTGATCATACTAGACCTTGAAAATCTTAAGAAAGATCTTCACGGTCTAGTATTTCATATGTGCATTACGAAAAGTACGAAAGGCACAATAACACTACATCAAATGGGAGTACAGTAATACCCCAAACTTACGCGATAGGTGGGACCGAGCGATAACCGCGTAAGTCGGGGTATAATTTCGCAATTTGTGTAAAACTCAAGTCGGATGTATGTAAGCTAATAAATGTTCTCGTTAATCTTATCTCGTCTTTTAATTCGTTCGTTCACGGTTGCAAGAAATCACCACATAGAGTCTCTCAAGTCTCCGTAGATATAACAAACACAGAAATAAATAACACAAAATAAATTGTAGATATGTGTCGATTCCGCGCGACACGTCCGAACATGTAAGCTGAACAATAGTGTGGGGGAGTGAGTAATCGAGAGTTGCGTGACGCTCAAACAAAAGACGAATCGACGAGATTTGAAAATCGCGTAACTCTGGGTTCGCGTAAGTCGGGGTAGCGTAAGTCGAGGTATTACTGTATTAAATTTAAAAATGCTGCTGGAAAGTTTGTTTTTCAAAATTTTGAAAAATTGTTCAGATTATTGATGATATTACCAGTTTCCAATGCATCTGTTGAGTGAATATTTAGTCAGCTACGTTTGTGTAAGACATCGCACAGACATTCTTTAAAAACTGAAACGATTTGTAACGTATTGTATGCACTGTCCGGTATTCAAAAAATATTGTTTCATTTGAACCTTCAAAACGAATGTTAAAACGCAAATAAATATGTAAATAAATGAATTTTTAAAACTGATCATTTACGTATTAAAGTATGTTTGAAATTAAGTGAATGGCTTATTTAATTTTCTATCTTTAGCTAAGATACACAACACATGCTAAAAGTGAATGAAAGCTAAATAATTGCATTCATTAGATTTATGGATATATTTTATGATTATTTAATTCATTAAAGACCAGGCGAGATTTTTCTCATTTGTCAAAATGGGATTACCAAACTAAAACATTAATTATCTTCATAGCAAATGTAAATTAGTGCCTCTGATAAAGCCTAAAAATCCTAAGATATTTTAGTTATTAAGATTTTTAAAACCAATAAATTAAGAATTGTTCTGATGATTATTTCACGATAATAGTACAGGAATCTGCATCATAGAATTTTCGTCTTATTATTATTATTTTTTTAATCCGAGCTCGAGCTCTGAGTTTTCTCAATTTAGGGTAATCAAAGGTAAAACGAATGCGCCGTCAGGGTAGTCCCACCAGAAGCAGCGGCAGCACTGGTTATGATAGATGTGATAACTTCAAATATTACAATTAGTTACAAAAATACCTTTTAATATTTAGGAATGATTGAAGTATTAAAACTGTTTTGACTACGTATGATGGGATGCGGAGGTAGCAAATATAATTCTCCGGAATCTGTTGTAAGTAAAATTTATTATTTGTTTTAATACAAATAGAAATTGATTAATAAATTATTGTCAAATTAAATTAATTCCGAATTAATCTGCTGTCAAAATTGTAATTATAAATTATGTTTTTATTTTAAAGGGAATGATGTTAATGTAAAACTCATTAATAAGTAACTACAGCACTTAGAAATACTTAAAACACTTAATAAGAAATTATATTAATTGGAATTATTAAATAATTTATCAAATATATATCAAATAGGCTAACAAAAACTGAAAATGACATTTATTATCATCTTCATGTAGATAATTAAGAATTATAAATTATTAAACCTACTCTTATTATAAGCTTTCATGATAAAGTAAATGTTTGTAACTAACAAAATTATATTGCTATTCTAGGCAAGGAAATCGATTCCTTCTGAAGATTTACAAAAATCTGAAGAAGAGATTCTAGAAATTAGGAATAGAACAAACATGAAGCCCAAGGTAATAGGCTCAGAAACAAATAATAATGTTTACCATTATTAAACATATTTATTTAATAATGAAGTTTTAATTTTTAAGTTAATAAAATACTAATATTTAATACGTTAATAACTTACCTAAAAATAACTATTAAAAATATTTTGTGAACCAAAATATTTAAACAAATAATTTATACATAATAAGTAAACAAAATAAACTTATTCGATATAAATGAAATGATTATTAATTTTAAGCTTGTATAAAACTGTTTTCACGTTGAATATAATATGGCTTTCATATAAATTAATTATTTTCAGAAAGATGAAACAAAGTGGCATTTGTTACTTTAACCTACTAACCTGAGTTGTATTTAATGTTTAATTAAAATTCGAAGTTTCCATTCAAACTGTGTAAAAATGACGAAAATCCAGGTTAATTATTTAAATATTTCTTAATTTTTATTTAAAAAAAGTTGAAAATTATTTATATGGAATAAAATTATTTTATTAATATCTTTTAAAACACGAGTAATTTTTGTAAAAATTAAAAATTCTTTCCATATAATTGTCGAAAAATATTCTCGTTGCCATAGAATCGAATATTAATATTTTACTAGTGTCTTTACAAATGCTAGTGAAATCAAATTCTGTTAAAGCAAATATATATATATTTTTTACTTTATTAAAATTACTGAATAGAGTGTCATTATAGAAATTTAATTAGTACAGTATTTGATTTATATATCTTTTCTCTTCTCTGCCCGGAGCACATGTTCTGTTTTCACCTATATTTGTAGCTCTGCTTTCGTAATCACAACATTTAATAAAGATGATTGGAATGTAAGATAGATAAAAGTGAAATTACCAGAAAAGATAACGTAATCAATTTGTACTCTGCCTATTATTTGCATGTTAAACAATTATTTATGCCATATTTTAATTGATTTTTGTACACACATACTTTGCACGTTAGTGCTACATTAGTTTTCTAAATTCTGTTAAAACATAAAATAAAAACTTTTGTTTGTTCTGTTACTTAGTGTAAAATGTCTTATTAAATTTTTGCGATGCGTGATAATCAATCATTTCTCAATTTAAAACCTCTGAATCAATGAATTAAAATAATTTTAAATTTCTGTTCTCATCTATGTTACTCATAAAACATGTTAAGTGAGTAGAGATTGTTTTCATACCAACAATACATACCAGTACTTTTATACCATATTTTGAAAAAATATGTTAATGTTTTTCGATGAAAATTAAAAAAAATTGTGTTGTAAAAACTTCGAAAATATTAAAAAAAATAGGTAAATTATTTACAGAAAAAATTCAAGTAAAGAATAAAAATGACAAAAAAAAAATATTTAAAAGAAACAACGATAGAATTCTAATTTGTCTGTTTATCGAGCGAATTTAATATATTAAAATTAAAAAAAGGTATATTTATTATTAATCTTTAATTTAAATAGAGTTAAAAAAATGTCCATATTCTACAGAAAGGAATTTTAGCAATAACATCGAAAATCAAATTATAGAAAGTTTTTATGATTACTTAAGTTTTTAAACTTTTGTAAGTAAATTTTAATCTTGTAATAGCTTTTATAATGATAAATTTTACTTAAAGTATAATTTCAAATTGATATTTATGATAATAATAAATGTATAACTGGATTTTGTTATATTCAATCTTTGTCTTTGTAATTTCGTTATGTTTCGTTTCGATTGATATCCTCTTGTATTTATTCTTTTGATTATTTTTATTTGGTTTTGTAATTATGAATAATTGTGCAGTTTCATATTGCAATATCATTTGCTTGTTAATAGTATTATCATTAAACTGTGTTCCACTAGTAGTGAATTATAACACAGAATCAAAGTGTTATATTAATAGAAAATTAAATTCGATTCTGCATTAAATAAGAAATTTTCCATGCATAGATAATAATATTTCTGTTATAGCGATATGTATAGACAAAATTCTGTAAGATGTTTTCGATTAAGCATCTATTTTTATTTATAATAATGTCTTTAATTCAATATTAGACTTTAATTTGACTGAAAAAATAAATCAAATTATTTTTCTATATTTTCCATGATATACTAACAGGTTCCTCGAAGATGATGCCACAACAATATAAAAAGTGTAGATTTATTAGATAAGCCTGATTCATTTATTGATTAACATAGATTCTAAATGATACAAAATGTTATTTACAGGTTGAAATTACTATAGAAACTCTCCAGAAATATCTCGATTTAGAAAAAGAACTTAATAAATATGAAAAGAAACACGTTCTAGAAGCTTACCAAATTAAATCTGATCATTTGGAACAATTAGAAATGAAAATCCAACAATTGGAAGAGAAAGAAAGAGAAAACGACGAAAAGATGTATGCTGATTTACTTACATTTTTTCAGTATTTAAAATATTTTACAAATAAAAACGTTTATAATTTTGTACTTCAGATCACAATCGCAATCATTGTTGGACGAGAACACTCGGAAATCATTAAAACAATTTTTAATCGATAAAAATCCAACCGCAGAGAATTTAACTGCCGAACAGAGGATATTAATTGAAGATTTGAATAATCAGGTGATAATTATTTTTAATAACGTCTAAATATAATAGAAGAGTATATATCAGTAAAATAATAATGAAAAATGTTTATTGATATGTAGATAAGCTTTTCTTATATAGGAAATGATAAAAAGAGAGTTGGAGACAACTGTTCAGCAAAGGGATAAACTAAAAGAAGAAGTAATAAAATTAGGAAAAGAAGGTGAAGAATATCAAATTCTATCGCAAAAGCAAGACGAATTTCTCGGTAAGAAATTGCACTTTTCATTTTTATATACATTAATTTTAGAGAAATTTTTTTGGAGAATTTATCGTGAATTGTTCAACTGCATTCATGATATGAAAAAATTATAACAATATACTGCATATGGAATAGAATATACTTTATCTACTTTAACTGAATAAAGAGAAAATAAAATGACTAATAAAAATATTTAAAAATTTCAACAGGTAAAAAAAATATTTAAATATCTTTTAAATACAAATATTAATAGTCACGTCGATTTATATTCAACACGTGTCTTATTTTTGAAATCAATTTTAAAATTTATTTCAAATTGGTTATGTTTATTAAAACCAGCCGAAATTATTTTATGGTTATTTCAGTGATTTTATTAAACTTAATTTTTACATATCAATGAAATAACAGATTTAACTGCAAGTACATAAACATTATTTGAAGTATTTCAATTAGAAATAATTTATCGTAAATGAAAATGCGCGAAAAATCAACACAAAGCACTTCACAAGTTCACATAATCTACGACACTAAAAATTTGCTTTTCTACAGAGACTGCAAGTAGAACAACACATTTCAATTTGGAAGTGCGACCAGAAGCTTTACGTCTGAACAACCCAAGAATGATTTCATGCTAAAAGTTGCCTATATAATGAGGTATTCTCGCTGCACTATAACTTCGTCGCATACTACATTAAGTGGTTTAAATACCTTCTTGAACTCCAACAACTTGCAGTTACTTGTTCCCGTTTATCACATAAACAGAAGAAATTCTTCATTTGTAAGGAGAAAATTTTACATTTTAAAGTAGCTGGATTCTTCCAACAAACTAAATGTGTTTAACTTAAAACAGACCTGTCCAAAAGTTTCAAATCAAACTCAAAAACGGATTGGCTCTTTTTACAAGAATAACGCTAGACTCTAAAATGTCGTTCACAGATGCAAAACTGCTCTTAGAATATTCATTGAAGCTATATCATACATAGCTAATTGGCTTCTAAATTATGACCTCTGGTAAACAGATGTTACCATTCTACTTTTGTTTTAGAGAATAACGTAATTAGTCTTTTGCAATACTTACCGCGTGATTCCATTTACGTAATAACTTCTGGAGTTCAAGCGTTTGATCAATCAAAAAGTAGATCAAAATGTAAAATTTTTTTAGGTAGATGTACTGTATGTATCATTAGTTTATACTCTTATATTAACACGCTTGAGGTTATACAATTCATTGATCATTTATTAGCAGGTAAAATGGCTATGGATAATAGACGGGTTACAATCCATAGCCATTTATATCTTTATATGCATCATTTATTTGTCATACGAATTATTTTCTATATAAAGATAAATTTTATCTATAAGTCTGGTGTCCCAATGGAATCTTCGTTATCAGTCTTTTTGGCAGAAAATGTTTTAGAAACATTTATTAGATACACTTTTTGCAATCGCATATCTCGTTTTTTGGTAAAGATACAGCATGTTGATGATACCGAATAGAATGGCAACATGGGGAAAACGATTTCAATATTTTCTTTAGTCGGAAAACATGGAAGTTTGTTAATGCTGCTTTTTTACACTGCACATATCTTCAATGAAAAAAGCAACATTAACAAACTTACAAATGTTTTTCCACAATTGCATTAAAATCAGAGTTATAAATAATTTAGAACCCTACGCATGGCAGTGAATTCTCGGCTTCAAAATTTAACTTTATACCGCAGAGTTAATCGAAAATTATTTCCCCCTCGAGAATTTTAGGAAAATTAAAATATAATTTATTTACACGTATTTCTTAGAAATTGAAATAAATAGATTCTAATTTATTAAAAAGGAAACGAAAATATACATCTTTAAATATTAAATTACTACAGTTTAGATTCTTGTGATCAGTTTCTGCATGTGACCATAGCAACCTAAAATTATAAAGTATTATGAGAAAAATGGAGTAAATATATCATAAAGCAAACATCGAGACAATTCCGGACACTATAAAGCTATAAAGAGAGAGTCTGTCAGGATTGTCCGCGGGATAATCCTGACAGACTCTCGCGGGGAATCCTGGTTAGAATCAAACATTACGATTTATTTGATTCTAACCAGCTTCGGAAAGAGAGACGTCATCTTAACTACATTTTGATAAATAGTTAATAACTAGCACAAAACACATTATTATCACATTTATAAAGATATCTAAAAAAACTTCATATGCTACTTGTGGTAATCACTCTCGCCCAACAGTGGCTGAGTGGATAAAATCACTGAATACTGGGTATTAGTCGTGGGTTCGTGCCTTTAACAGGCTGGTCATGTTAGAGTAGAAAAGTGCTTTATTTTTACAAAGATACGAAATATACATCAAACAAGGCAATAAAATAATTAAATCGATCGTTTCAAATAGCTAAAGTGAACTTCAACTTAACAATATAAAAATGTTACTAACAGTCATATGGCGTTTTCCAGTTTTCTTCACATTTGAAACATCTAAATAGGGGTCAATTTTCCGTAGAAAATTCTCCCACGAGGCATCACCCTTGGCAGATAACCCACATGTCGCATTGCCGTATACAGAAACAGCTATTAAAACTCACTGAAAGAGCAAAGCTTTCAAAACAATGAGTTTTCAGCTGCACGAAACATGAACGAAAACGTGCGAACATAACAATATACGACTTTACCATGTAACTGATAGAAATCGTAAAGCAACATGATAATGCTGAAACCTTTTTGTTTTTATACTATTTCATGCCCAACTTTTCCCGATATCCGAGAGAAATCGGACATGAATATTCCCCAGTCTCCTCTAAATTTTTAAAACTATGTAAGAACATTCCTTTTCGGATATCGGCGTTATCCTTGCCATCACTACGTACGTAGATTATGTTATAAAAATAGAGAAGTTGGGAATATATAGCATATATTTAACATTTGTCAGGACAACGAAATAAGCGTGTTACAGGACACGAAAGAAAGTAAAATACATAAGAACAACGACAGCGTCAGCCGTCTTCTTCTTAACAGTTTTATATGGAGATGTTAGCCGTGTAGTTCAGCCGTCTTAACTTCGGATAAAAATTACTAACCAAATGGGATAAACTGAAGCTTTTCTTTTTACTGCAAAGTGAAAGAATTTTGCTGTTATCGGAGGCGATGTATAATAAAACATGTAATACTGTACGTGCAATGAATCCACAGTCAAAATATCATATACGATCGTGCTATTGCTTCTGCAGAAAATTAATCTTTCTGATAATGTTTTTCTTTTACGTGAAGACGTTACTGTTCAACAGCTGTTTGAAAGTTCTTCAGCAACTGTTTCACTGTATCGGTACTTACAGAAGAACTGGCTGAAACCTCGATTGTACTGTACAGTACATTCTTTTCCTTTAATAGTCTTTGTCGTAATAATCATTGTATTTTATTTAAACTTTCTCGAAGTAGAAGCCTCTACAATATTAATAATTATGCAGTAAAATTTTAATTAGTTCATAATATTTCTTGTTTTTGCGTTACGAACATTTGAACAATTTGAAGTCAAATATTCAAATTTAAATTTGATTTGTTTTATAACAGCGTAAATTGAAGAAGCTCAAGTTGTATATGAGCGAAAATGCTTTTCAATTATTTCATATCAATATTTTCTATCCTTTAAACAAGGTGTTTAGTATCGTGGATTATATGAACTGTGCTTTTCTTGTGTTTTCTTAGCTAAAATTGTTCTCTTTTTTCTGCAACTAGTTCATATACGATCTTATTATTAACATAAAAATAACGCGTTATCTGAGACCTTTTTTTATGGTCTTGCTTGGATTATTTACTTTTTTGACAAAGAAGCTAATTTATAGGTAAATAACATAAACAAATACACTAAATTTTTGAGAATGAAAACAAAAGCGTATATAGTGTCAGTAATAAGTGACATAGATAAATCAAAACAAACGATAAGAGTTCTCGTAGTGATAAATACTATAAAATTAGAGAAAAAAAGAGAACTAAAATGGAAATTACTGTGGTTTTTATGAAGATAAATATACATTGAAAAACTGCATAAAATTTAAATATGAATGAGCATCGTCACAATGTTCCCAACTTTTTATTTTTAATTTTTATTTGCAATTTTTGCAAATTTTTAATTATTTATTGGGCTGCAATTTTTAATTATATTTTTAAATTCATTTAATTTAAAATATATGCTCTTTACCTTCAAATTACTAGTGTGTTGCCTCGGTATTGTACATCATCATACTTTCTCTTTTGCAATCTGGTCATCTATCTAACTTCTTTTGGGGGAAGTTTTGAATTGAAATAACACGACTTCCAGTTTTCATCAGAAGTTTACGTACAATTAATCGGGGCTTCTGCCCTTACGCTTTTCATATCTGGTTTCTGCTTTCATCTATCCAACTCTATTTTCGAAATTAAGGAGAGACGGACATACGGACGGAAGACAATTGGAATGTATTCAATATACGTCTAGAATTTTTTCAAATTGCAATCAAATATATACTTTATTTGGCTGTCTGGCTTAGTCCGATTTTTATGAGCCACTAGAAATGATTTGATTCTATTAAATGTAGGATAGGTTTTATTAATTTCACTTCTTTGAAGTATTTTTGGAAGTTTAACTATTGACATTTATACATTAATAGATGTTTAGTTAAACATTGGATAAGGTAAAATTAATATTTAATTAAGATTTTCTTTTTAATGTCAGGTTTTAAGTCGAACCCTTGGATCCTGACTTCGAAATTTCTCATAAACAATAACTAAGCCTCTACTGTGCGTGTAGTCTGTACAATAATCTTAGCATAAATTAGTCAATCCAGAATATAGTGACACACTCATAAAAAAATCATTCGAATTATTTAAATTAAATATTTAACCTGGCTTTTCATTTTGGCTATGCTAGAAAATATTACATTTAGCCCCGAAACATACTAATTTATAGGCGTGTTTTCGTGTGTCTATTAAGTTTTTTGACCGAACCGAAACGATTTTTTGTTATGGTG